TATATATATATATATATATATATATATATATATATATATATATATATATATATATATATATATATATATATATATATATATATATATATATATATCTTAGAAATGTTTTTTTAACATTTGTTTATTTATTGTATTGTCACGTGACATATTTTGTGGTCAGTGCATCTTCTTACCATCTCGATAACTGATGTTTATTGTGTGTTTGTGGGTTTTGTTGGGTTTTATTCCCTCACAAGGCAAATAATTGGTCTGATTTATTGCGCTGCTTCAGCGGCTGCGCAGAAAAAACTTCATAATTATTAAAAAAAAAATGTAATGCACGAAAAGCCGCGCGTAAATTTTCTTTGCAAATGTTTATTGTATTACTATTATCATTATTGTTGTTGTTGTTGTTGTTGTTGTTGTTGCTGTTGCTGTTGTTGTTGTTGAAGATAATTCCATGGGTTTTTCTGTGCCTTTGTGTGGCTTCCTGGTGGCTGAGGACGGATCGCTCCGTCTGGATGCTGAGCTGCAGGATCCTGTTGGTCCGCCAGGCTGGATCCTGCAGGAGGCGGAGGATGGGCTGCATTCACAAGCACGACCAAAAATATTCAATAAGAACTGTTATCTGCACCTAATATCAGTTTGGATTGTTTTCTAAATTTTATTTCACATCTTCCTATCTCTACTGCAACAAAATTGTTTAATATCTGACGATAAAGATCTAATATTAAGAGAATCTATGACAAGTTCAAGGATTTTAACTAAACCATGGTTCATTTATTGAGTGTCGCTCTCTGAAGCCTGTGAGCTGCCAGCATGTGGAGGGAACATTTAGACCACAAAGTGTTCAGATGGACAGAGGAGAAGGCAGGACTGACTCACAGTAAAAGGTCCAATCAAATCCAGGAGGGAATAAAAATGCTTGAAATCAGAACCTGTCCGTCTCAAACTGACTCTCAATCATTTTTTTACTGATTCACACAAAAACAAATCTACACCTCATCAGGTTGGCTGGTGGAGTTTGGACCAAAGCAACCTGCCTGATTCATTCAAAGACTCTCCTGGATCTGGATTGGACCTGAACTGGTTCCTTTCTGGTTCCGTTGGTTTAAAGTGACATTTATTTTATTTTATTTGCTGTTAAATATAAGATTTGGGATTATCACACTATACCAGACATAATTTACTATTAATCTTTTCCATATTTCTTTAGTTATGTTTACATTTTCAACTCAACAAAAAATAACAACAATACAAATTTCCTCAGAAATTGATTTCTTCAAGAAATGAAACTTTAAAGTTTTGTTAAAAACTAAGAGGAGACACTCCCAAGCTCAACTTTAGAATTATATGTATATTAAATATAATCTGTTTTTGCCTCATGCTGACAACAAGAGATTGTGACTAAAAATTGGGTCATTGTGCAACATGTTAAACTTTTCAGCCAAAATAAATGTTTATTGTGTATTCAGCAACATATCTGAATAAAAACAATTTAAATGACAGAAAGAGGGCATCATCACTAATTAACACGAAAAAATAATATTTGATTCTTTGATGGGGTTTTTATGACTTCCTGAAGGAGCTCGGTGCCACTCAGAGATCCTTTAAAAAATATCCCAGGTCCAATTATGTTAATCACAGTTACTAATAGAAATGAATATAAAATTGACCTTTGACCTCCAAGGGAACACTGATCTAAAACAAATACAAAGCTTAAGTCCATGTGCATAGATTTACTCTCCTCATTAAACCTTTACAGGTGAAGCAAAGCTCAGTCCTCCACGTTTTGGTGAAGTTGTGCTTGTGATGGATGTGAGGCAGCATGTTTTCACCATCTGCTGTTTTCCCCTGGAACACAGATGTTTGCTTTAGCAGGAACATGTCTAAGTTTGTGGCTAATCGTCACTGGTCAGCTCAAAACAGGGTTTTCTTCCCCCCCACCGCCCCTCACCCCTCCAGATAGAAATGGAGAAGAAAAGCACAAAGTAAAACATCCAACCTGACAAAGCCGAGAGGGATCCCTGTGGTTTCTCAGGAGTCGGTGGACTGAGAGCTTCCTCTGGCTGCTCTTACAGATTGCAGCTGGTTTCCAGCCTTAATGCAGAAATGTTGTTGGGTTTACAGGTTTAGAAAAATCTATATTTAAAAATGTTTTTCACAATGTATTTGAGACACTTAAACTATTGAAAGCACTTTTTAAAAGTCAGACCTTGAGAATTTCAGAAGAAATTCTAGGATTTTATTTTCACCATTAGTTGTCACAAACTTTTTCATTTGGCTTCATGTTGATAATGACAGAGTGAGGGATATGTTGTGTGTTTGTGTTGAACTCAAATCATTTTTGAAACTTATGAAAACCTGAGCAGCTACATGTAAAAACTCAAAGCTAACATAGGATGGTTCTTCCTTTTTATGTCAATTATATTTCTAGAATTTGATTAAGATTTTAATTCACAATGTCGTGATGCTGCATTTTACTTTGACAAGAAGTTCAGAATTTAGATCTTGGAATGACTTCATAGCAGTGTCTTCATATTCCAGCTGCATGCCAGAACACCACAGGGAGCAGTCTGTTGTTGTGATGAGCAGCAGCCGAACTCCAGTTCACTGAACAAGCCGATAAAAACGTGTTTCTGTCAGTATTCATCCAGTAACAGAACATGTTCAGCACCAGAGGCTGTGGGTTACTCAACTGGTAACAGAGACAAACGAACAGTTCACCACTGCAGTTATCTCTATCTGCGTTTCCATTAACCCTATGACTGCGCAATTTGACAAGGTTTTGGCGCTAGGTTGAGGAGTGCGGTTTTTCTGGCCGAAATTGGCAATGAAAACACTTTTTTCGCATCACACGAGTCACGTGATCAACAACCGGATGTTGCCTCTGGCGGAAATCAAGAAGAAGAAGAAGACAACAGGAAGTAGTGTTGGGAGCTTGTGGCGTTTTTTTAATGACGTCTTACTTGAACAAACTTTTTCACGTGTGATTTTAGTTGCGCTTCTTATTTAACAGAAACACGGTAATTGCGAAATGATGTATTTTCAGCGTTAGCGGAAACTAGACAAGAGTTTTACACATAAAGCTACTGTGGCTTTTCACACATAGCAGCCATGTTGGATTACTATTATAGAAAGAGCACTCTTCTGAATACTGCTTAACAGTTTGCAGAGTGTGGTTAATGAACAGGATAGTGTGTGTGTGTGTGTGTGTGTGCGCGCGTTTTGGCTGGGGCGGGTTCTTATGGCCAGTGGTCAGTGGCTGGTCTCCACAGGTCTCATGTTAATTTAACTCACGTGACCTAACAATAACATCTGCTCACAGCGGCCCCTTTGACCTTTGACCCGTCCTTTCAGAAAAATCCAGTAACATTTAAGTCATACCTGAAATACTGTTCACTAAAATATGGGAAAGTTAACAAAGTTTCTGGGGATCCTAATAATGATGTCAGGAATTATATTAATTATTACAGCAGTGTGGCTTCATCTTAAAAAAAATAATAATAAAACAAAATAACACAATGAAGCAAAATAACTTAAACAAAATGAAGATAAAAAAAATAATGTGAACAAGCTTGTTGATTTACCCATACAATAAATATAAAATCTGTAGAGTACAATAATGATGAGATCTGTCATTTTCAGCAGAATCTTATGAATCAAGGAAATTTTTTTTGGAGTTCCTTAAGATGAACTATTTTTACCATAAGGGAATTGTTTGGTTCTAAGAGAAGTTCAGACCCTTTAGTACCTTAAGGGGTGGGACGCTGTAAGTTTTCATAAAAGCCTCCCAGGAAATGTTTCTGACTCCCATCAGCTCTGGACTCCTGAGACCTGAAGGACATTTTAAAAATGACACGGTTGGCCTGATTTGCATAAAGATTTCACATATATATTTTTTTCATATTATTTCATTTGTTATTCATCTTATTCTTATTTCAAATGTTTTTAGATTTTACTTATTTAAATATGTTTATCCCTCTTGCAAAATCCTGTTAAATTTGTACGTTTTATGCTGTGACGAAACGAGAGATGATGAAATGGATTCTGAAGCAAAAATATATACGTGTAAATTAATTTCATTTTCACTCTGCAGTTAGTCTTTTTTCTTTGAGGACAGCAGCAGTGAAGGAACAGCGCTGACCTCTGAATAAACGGACCAACTGTTCTGAGTTTCACCTTCTCAGGTTTTGTCTTAAAATTATAATTTTTTCGATTCTGACATCATATTTTTACAAAAAAAAAGAGGGTTGCATCATCTGCGCTTAAACTGACATTGTGTTATTTTAACAAAATACTTGTTCTTTTTTTAGGATTGAAAAATAAGTTTGAAATAAGAAACAAAAACAAAAAACACGTTGTGATTAACGGCGTAATTCATTTGCTTAAAGTGGAATTTTCTAAATACATCCGCAACATTTTGGTTTGAGTGACTTTTATACTCAGAGGGGTTGCATTTGTGAGGTATATCTGTAATGCTGCAATGTTTATTTTTAAAATAAATTTTAATTTTGACAACGTCAAAAAAAATGTATTAAATTCATCCTGGTGAGGTGGACAAGGGGAATGTTTATTGCTTCAGTAGATTCATCACATTTATTTTCTGCTTAACTACGAAATAAGCTAAATAAATTAATCAATAAATAAAGAACATAAGAAAACGCAAACAGTTGATGTCTAAAACGGCGTTTTTGGCGCACCTGAAAACTTTTTGGACAATAAACAAAAACTTTACTTTTAATGGCCAAAAGGAACCGCCTCACAGATCCAACTGGGATCAGATTCAGTCTGTTTTATACAGCAGAGGAAAAGATCGACTGGATTTTGCTCTGCATTTATATTAAATAGCTCCTTGACAGTTTGAGCTAAAACATCATTTTGAAGCCGAACAAATTTAAAACCTGTAAATCCACATGGCCTAAACGAAAATGACGTTTCCGTTCAGTAATTCTATGGCATAAACATGAATTTTTATTTATTTATTTTTCCTTTAACAACATAATAACAATCCATTTTAATTATAAAGATTACTTTATGTCAGTAAAATATAAAGACACAAAACCAAACAGCTAAAGCCATTAAATATATCCGGGGTTTTGTGAACATTTATTTCTAGAAAGAAAACACAAGAGAGACAGGATTCCCTGCGGAGCAGATTTAGTTGGACCTTTTTGAGGAGGTTTGTGCTTTAAAACTTTGATTAAAAAAAAACATTAGAAACCAGGTATAAAACGTCTATAATGATTCTCCATTCCGCTCAGATGGGATCTAAATTACACTGCAGTATTTCCCAAAACATAAAAGAAGAAGAAGAACTTATTTTAGAAGGTTTCGAAAGTTGTTTGTCTGTGGATGACCAAATCAATACAAGTAGAAAGATTGAGTGGAAACGGGAGAACTAGCTGCGGTGTTTCTGTTAAAAACAAGCAGGAGAATCATTAGCTTTGTTGGCGCTGCAGGTTTAATGCTCCAATCAATGCCAAGCGCTGCAAATAAATGCATGAACCGCGCTGCCTCCCGGCTGGATGCCGCAGGTCCAAAGCTCGGACGCAGAGCGGGAGCCGTGAGGGTAATTAATGGATCAACAGCGACACCATGCGGTCATAAAACAAAACAACACAGACCCACTTCACTTACCTGGATCATAGCCGCCTCCTGTCGTGATTAAGTTAAAACTCTTTATGGTGAACACTCTGAGTAAAACAAAATCACGATTTTAACAGCGTGCAGAGAGACAACAAAAGAGCTTTGGGACAAAATACACCAAAAGAATCTTCCTTCTTGGTTGCAGACAGTGATTCAGCTGCGACATGTACAATTTTGTTGTTTTCTTCCAAATCTGAATATCCACTGTGTGATTACTTAGGGAACAAAAACTGAGACAAAAAAAAATAGAAGCTCTGAAATATAAGCAAAATCCACCATTAGTTCAAATGTCTGCATGTGTATACTGACCTGTGGAGAGGCTGAAAGAGTATGGACCACGGAATTAGGCAAAGCACAAGCATAAGTAAAAAGGTATAAAAAATATTACAAAATTGCTATAAGGAAGACGAAAGATATATGTACTTAGTTACATTTGTGGGAGATTTCTTCTGTTTTTATTAAACTTTTTTTATCTCCTTTAAATGTTTCAGATCAACAATTAAATTTTAGTATTCTATTAAAATAACCTTAGTACATACAAAAAGGAATTTTAAAATTGTGATTGTATTTATTATGAGAAAAATCTATCCAGACCAGCCTGGCCTGTGTGGAAAAGTAACTGTCTCCCGTTTTAACTGCTGAATGAACTTTTTGAGAAAGTTGAGCCAAACTTAAGAAACCTAAATTACTCCAAGAACTTGTTGATAATAAATTCTGGAGGTGACAAAAAAGAACAGGTCAACTTCTAAATCTACAGACCCGTTGCCTGAGCTAAGGTCAGAGGTCATGATTTAACAATAAGATGGAGAAACTGTCCATATTCGCTTCCAGGAAATCTCCATAGGAAGGTTTCCAGGTCAGAACCACTGCTGACCTAACAGAACATAACAGCTCGTCTCACAGAAAAGAAAACATCTTGATGATCTCCAAGACATTTGGTAAAATATAGACTTACATGACAGAAATGCAACATTATGGAAAGTTTGTGTCATATTACATCTTACCTATTAGTAACACAGTATTTCAGGAACAGAACATCATGGTCACAGTCAAACATGCTGTTGGTGGTCTGAGGGTCTGGCCTAATCTATGCATCCTCAAGATCTGGACAAGCTGCCATGATTGATGGAATCATGAACGGTGCTCTACCAGAAAATCCTGCAGGAGATTTTCTCACCTTTAGTTCAGGAAGTTTTAGTCACAGTGATCCAAAGCACAGCAGAACAGCCACATCCAAATGACTCAGAAATGAAATGAAATTATGTTTTTCAGTGGCTTAGCCAAAGGTACAGACTTAAATCCAGTGTAGCATTACCATAAAACTCTCATTTATTTTTATAAATCTACTGATGTGGCTGAATTAAATAGTTTCTGCAAAAAGGAAGGAGGCCAAAGTTCCTCAGTGGTGATGATAAAGACTCGTTACCATTTATTATAAACTCTTGGTGTAGGTTGTTGCTTCTAGAGGTGGAACAACTAGTTATTATATTTAAAGGGTTTCTTTTTGCTATAATAAATGAAATCATATATTATTACCAGCTACGATCCTGAACATTAAGTTGAACAAAAAAGCAAAAATACAAGAAATGTGTGAGGGGCGAACACAGTGACAGCACTGTAAACTGATGTATTTAGCTTAATAAAATTGAAACCTGATATTGAAAGACTAGAGAGACATAATGCTTTTTTCCTGTGTGTGATGTCAAATCTTGTTGAACCTTTTTCATTTTAGGTCAGCTAGGATTGCCAAATTACTCCTAATTTGAAAAAGTGTCTAAATTTTTATGGGAGACATTTTTTATTGCTATTATTGTTTTTTAAACAATTGTGACAGCCTAGTCTACATGTTAAAAGCTGTAGGAGTTTGCTCACAAACAACGTGCGTAAAAGAGACCAAATAGCAATTTAGATTGAAATGGATGACTTTCTGTGGGGTTTTGACAAAGGATTCAAAAGACATTTTTGTTAAATTATGCAGAAGTAAAAATCGTTTGATGAAATATGGCTTTCAAAAATGAGCCTCCATTTTTTTTCTCTCATAAAAGATTAAATAACACAAATTATCGATGTTGTCTTTGTTAGAAATGGAGTTAAGTTAGAAATGCTACATTTCTAACTTAACTCCACAAGCGTTGGATAAGCGAAAAAATGAAGAGAAACGTCTGTTTTGACTCAGGACTAGTTGATCCTCATCACAGTTAGAGGGCGCTGTGGGAAAACTAGTCAAACCAGAGAGGGAGCGAGAGAAAGAAAAGAAACATCATGGTGGCATGCAGCCTGGACGGAACGTCTCCTCCTGTCTGACCTGTGAGGGTTGGAGAGGGAGACGGAGCTGCTCATGGAGTCTGTTCAGGAACGGCTGGTTGAGTTTTCACTGGAGGCTCACGGTGAGAAGGATCTCCACTCTGAGTTTACTAACACAGATCAGCAGACTGACAGCTCCAACTTTCACTGAAACCATTCATACATATGCTTTAAAACTCGATGTTGGATTTCTGAAAGCTTTCATTATTGCGGAAGGAACGTCAATAAAAAGCAGCACTTGGAGAGCAACTTAAAGACTGACAAAGCTGGACTGAATTATTCCAATACTGAATAAATGTTCTAAAAAATACAGTTTGATTTGTCGAACCTTAATTTAATCGGTAAACCAACAATAATCGATTTAAGCATCTTCTCTGGACTGCTATCAGATCCTCCTTCAGTACATCTAGAAGGTTCCGTAGTCTTTCTCTGAGAGCTCAGAGCGACTTCAGCTTCTACATACAGCATCACTGATCCAGCTGTCTGGATTCATTCTTGCTTCCAGGGACTTCCATGTCTCTCCAGAGTATTCCTATTGGTATTTCACCTATTAATCTGGGAGAAACTGGTGGATTGTGTATTTTTCATCTTAGGCTAATTGGTTGACGCATTCCTCCTCTTCTCCATGTGTCAATTTCATTGTCATCATGAGTTATGCAGGTGTTGCAATGGTTGCTGGCTGCTGTCTGGTCTGTCAGTGACTAACTGCTGATCACCCACCAGATCTTTACCTGAACAAATCTGTGCCACATTTGGAGGGACCGCCTGAGCCGCTGCAGTTCTACCGAGACTGGATCGGCCCGAACAAGCCCTGCATCATCCGCAACGCCTTCAGCCATTGGCCAGCTCTGTCCAGATGGACACCAGAATACCTCAGGTGACAAGGACCTGTCCGCAGTGAAACAAGGATTTTTATTTGAATTCTCCGCATGTTGAGATGAACATCCTCCTTTAGCTCAGAAAACACTGAAGGTTCCTGTGATTAAAAGGAAGAAGTTAAATCTGCTTCTGCTGTGTGAAGTCTCAAATTTTTACTGGATCACTGAACTCACATCTTACTGTCCGCAGGGAGAAGATCGGGTCAAAGATGATCAGCGTGGCAGTGACTCCTAATGGCTATGCTGACGCCGTGGCAGGGGATCGCTTCGTCATGCCTGAGGAACGACAGATGAGCTTTTCTTCTGTGCTGGACATAATAGAAGGAACGGTGAGGCAGTGTAGGGCCCGCTCCAGGGTACTGGACTGCTGCTCACCTGACTGGCTTCTGTTCTGACTCTCTGCTGGACTAAATGTTTCCAGGTGCAGAAAGCCGGAGTGTTCTACATCCAGAAGCAGTGCTCCAACCTGCTGCAGGAGCTGCCTGAGCTAGTGGACGACCTGGAGCCTCACGTACCCTGGATGAGCACAGCACTCGGTCAGTTCCATCACCAACCCAAACCAGAAGGGACTCAGAGCAGTTCCACCTCCTCCAGCACACCTCACTGCTGTTTCACACCTCTCCTACATGACCTGCACCACTATATGGATACTTCGACATCACTTCAGGCCTTTTTGTGCAATATCACAGTTCCTGTCTCAACACCCCATCATACGATTTCTCTAAATCTAAAAAGACGCAATGCAGTTTAAACCAGGCTAAAGGTTTTGTCAAAATTATAACGTCTTGAAAACCATGTGATCTATTGCACTGTTTTTCAAAGTGGTGGCCTCCAGGAGGCGCTGTGGGAGCCTCTGAAAGTTGGATGGAAGATGAGAAGAAAATGTTATCTGGTAATAAAGTCACATGTTGTCTGGTAACATTTTCCACCGCAGAACTAGTAGCTATCTAAAGTCAGCAGCATTTATACTAACAATGAATAAAACATTCTAAAAGTTAACATTTCTTTACGTATGTTGTAGCGTTGTCTGTGGGTTTGTATAAAGGGACCCGCGTGCTGAGGTCAGTGCTCTTTTGGGGCCGTGATATGGAAACGTTTGGGATCTATGGCAAGAATCCCTCAGTAAAACAGGGCTGTCTGTCCGTCACATCGGGTCCAGATCCTGTGTAAGGACGTACACTCACTGTCCATCCAGTCCTGGTAATTCTGTCTAATGAGGCAAAACTACCAGACATCCTATGCATCTGATGACCTCCATTTACTCAGATTGTCGGACGATCCGACAGCGCCTGGTTTTGGCTTCCAGGGCTGGTGGTCAGTTAAGTTAGGAGCCATTGCTGGTGTGGATGAGGAGCAAATTACATCCAAATCAGGTCATTCCTTCTGGGTTCTTTTCAGCAGCAGCTGTGTTTTACTTCAGGCGTCTGTGTCGTTATTGTTGTTGGCTTAAGAGTCACGTTGTTGTCTTTGTTTCCCTCTCTTAGGGAAATCACCAGATGCAGTCAATTTTTGGCTCGGAGAAGCAAATGCTGTCACATCCAGTAAGATTTCAGTTTGATTTTCATGACTGCCCCAAATGTGTTTGATATTCATGTGAAAAATATACTTCATTCATGAAGGACAATGTAGAACAGCCACATTTTATGACTTTCTGGAGTGTTTAGTAGGATTTACCGGGACGAGGGCACAAAACTTGTTGCTCCATCGAAGCAGTTGTCCAAATTCTGTTTTTTGTTCTCAGCTGTTCTGTGTTTTGCTTTCCAGTGCACAAAGATCCCTACGAGAATCTATACTGTGTGATTTCTGGAGAAAAACACTTCATCTTGCTTCCACCCACTGACCGACCCTTCATCCCTTATGGTAACCACAGTAACCATCTGTTTCTCAATGTCCTTGATGGTTGTAACTACAACAACCATTCTCCGAGATCACAGTTTTCAGTAACAGGTGATCACTACTATTTATCCAATGACCTTCTATTAACCCTAAAGATATTACCCTCAGTGAATACAACACATCTACTGTAGCTACCACAGGATCCACTGTATATCCTCTCCAGCAGCAATCAGCTGCTGGAAACATCTGGTCTAGTTAAAGGTTAACCACCAGAGTCAGAAAGACAAACCTTCACATCATCTTTTGGTCTTGTTGCAGCTGACCCCTGCTCAGGACTGATCACAGGAAACAGTCATGTAATCTTGCTGTGGTAACTGTCCACCTGATGTAACCACAGTCCTGATCTCTTGCAGTAACCACGGTAACCATCTCTGTCAGGTCTGTATCAGTCAGCTGTTTACCAAGAGCAGGACGGCGGTGAGTTTAAGGTCATCGATAACGTGGACTCACACAAGGTGCGTTTAGGTCCTCATTTCCTGAAGGTGTTCCATCAGTGCCTCGCTGACCCCACTCACCCCCTCCACCCCGTCCACCTGCCCCCTCTATCTGCCCACTCCACCCCTTCTCTGCTTCAGGTTCCCTGGATCCCTCTGGACCCTCTGGACCCGGACATGGAGCGCTTCCCTCAGTACCAGTTAGCCCGGCCTCTTTGCTGCACGGTGAAGGCTGGAGAGATGCTGTACCTGCCATCTCTGTGGTTCCACCACGTCCGGCAGTCCCACGGCTGCATCGCAGGTACAGACCCTGAATGCATCACGTCTCCACCAGCAGAAAGCATATTATATAGTTTATATAGTTTAGCAATAAGGCCTTAGTCACC